AACCACCCAAAACTAGTTTAGGTTAGTATTTTATGTTTATGTTTAGTTTTAGGTTTAGTTTTCTGCTTAGTGTAAGTTCATTTTCTGAAACATTTCGAGAAGCCAAAAGAGTTTCTGGTCACAACACTGGGCAGTACAAATAATGTGATATGTGCTACTGTCACCAATTAAATTTTGGGAGAGTGTATTTTTAATTGGTGATAACAATTATTTTTGTTTTGTGTGGATCAGAATGAATAGGGATATGCAAACATAGGAAGTTTTAAAGATTATATAAAATCAAATTTTACAGGATGGAGTAGTAGAATTACTATGCTTCATAATGTTATTTTAAGTTTAAACACTTTTCATCAAGAAAGGCTTATGCATTGTGATCTTCACAGTGGTAATATTTTACATTTTGAATCTTTTAACCAAGTAATGATTTCAGATCTAGGGTTATCAGGTCCAGCTGATCAAGAATCATCTAATAAAAATCACATATATGGAGTACTGCCATATGTTGCACCAGAGGTTTTAAATAAGAAACCTTATACACAAAAATCTGACATCTACAGCTTTGGAATTTTAATGTCAGAAATTCAACATATCAACAACCATTCAAAGATCAACCACTTGATTTTGATCTTGCTTGCAGGATCTGTAGTTGTTTGAGGCCTAGTTTTTCAGATAATACTCCAGAATGTTATATTAAGTTAGCATACAAATCCACAGATGCTAATCCTGAGAAAAGACCAGCGGCAGATGAAATTTTAGAAACTATTACTTTTTGGCATGATGCAACTTATAGATATCGACCAAATAGGCCTGATTATTCAGAGGAACAGCTTTATGAATTAAAAAAAATGAAAAAAATATTTGAGGAAGCAGATGAAAAACCTTTTAATTCTTCAACAATTACAACTGTTCATCTAAATGCTGTTTATACAAGTAGATTATTGAATTTTACAAATCTTCCTAAACCTGTAAACTCCAATAAAGTTACAATTATTGGTAATAATAATGGTAATTATCATCAATTATTTGATTATTAATTTTAAAATTCAATATCAACATCAACATTAATAAATTATCATATTATAGAATCTCATCAAATTGATTTTGATGGTAATTATCAATTAATTAATTTTAAAATTTAATATTAATATCAACATTAATATTATTTTATTATATTATGAATTATCATATTTATAGGTTTCAATCAAATGGGTTTAAATAATAATTGTAACTATTATCAATTATTTTCGATTATTAGTTTTAAAATTCAATATCAATATCAACATTAAAATTATTTTTATTATGTTACATATTTATAGATTCTAATCAAATGAATTTAGATATTTAGATTTAATTAGATGAATAAATTTTATTCATCTGACTGATTATTGGAATTTCACATATGGCTCAATTAATTGCATTAAAAAGTCACTTAATTGAGTCAAGTGATTAACCTATTTCCACCACATGTACAGTATAATGTTGGCTACTATAAAGAAATATAATTAGATGATGTTTTAATAATTTTGTTATAAAGTTAATTTATAGTATAATGCTTACTCTGTTATAAAGAAATTAAGTTTATCTAATTAGATGATATTTCAATAATTGTGTTGACTATACCACTGACTTGATTCGTTGGAATATATTATATTTATTAATTTATTTATTTCAAATTTGGTAACAATACTGTTGAAATAGCAATGCTATAATCAATGATGATAAAATGATGATAATGGCGATAATTTAGTTGATGATACTGATGATAGTGATGAATGTTTGGACATAAGTGAGGAAAATACTTCACATTTATATATAGAAAATTTCATTGACTTAAATCATTAACAAATAATGTTGATAGTAATTTAACTGATATTAAATATAGTAGAAAGTTAGATTGTTTGACGGGCTATTTTTATAGTTTTTTATAATATTTTTTTGCTAAAAATGTGTTTTATGTAAAGAATAAAAGAACATGTCTGTTGTTTTGATCTGTATATAGCACTATTGCCATTTTGAGTTTTGGGATTTGTGATGACTTTGGGATTTGTACCACTTTTGACATTTGGATTTGGGCATAGGATTTGGGTTTTGAGTTTGGACTTGGTGTTTTGAGTTTGGAGCAAGTATATTTGTAGATGACTCAAATTTATGAAAAATTTAATGGAGAAGAAATGGAAAATGTAGTTTGCACTGGTAAAAAAATGAAAAATCGGCAATACCCCCGATTTTTGTCAAATTGATCAATCGTAAACAATAAATTATGTATTCTTACAATTTTTAGAATTGATAAAAATCAGGGTTTTCTGAATTGTCACCATTTTTAGTAAACTAACTAGTCTTTCAACTGCTACAACAATTTCAACAAATAGGAGCAAGAATACAATCACTGGAAGAAATAATTTTTGAAATTGCATATTAAATTCACGGAAAGAAGTATATATAAAAATCAAAACTTTGAATCGTGTAACAAATTTAATTTTTGGAAAATTTCTGCGATGATCAATATTAATTATTGTAGTTGTTGGGTTTATTGTGTAAGGAATTGTTTATACTTTGAATAACCGGTTTAAATCCAACTATTACTATTACTATGACTATAATTGTCAAAAATAAATTGCGAAAAGCTGGGTTTTAATTACCGTTATCATATATATTTCCATACTTGCAACAATTTATTTAACAAACAATTCTATTATAATTAGGTGTTTTAAGAATCCTCTTTAAATGGTAAACTTGAAAAAAGGATTATATTCTTGTTTTAATTTTAGTTATTATTTTGTAAATCACCCCATCTTTGCATTCATTTTTTTATCAATGGATCAAAAAATTTATCTGTTTCTTTTCTTTTTTCAAAATATTTCAAATCCATATTTATATACTTTTTTTGATAAATAATAAATTTATCCTTTTGTTTGTTTGTTTTAAAATAGATTTTATTGGATCAACAAATGGTACACTACAGAAAATGTCAGAGAATCAATTATGCGAAAGCACACATAATAAGTATATATAGCTTGTAGCCTAGACCCTGTAGAATATGCATGCAAAATTTTCATGTTTTCTGATTTTTGCTATGTCATTATTATTTATTTAAATTGAAATTTCGATTATTTTCAAAAAAGAAAAAGATATTAATATAGGAAATTAAAATAATTTATAGGGCCTAGTACATAGTCAACCCCGTTATTCCGTTTAAAATTAGTAATTAAGTTTAACAAATTTGGTGGATTTACTGTTTATTTGGTTTAACAGGGTTTTTCGGATTAACAGGTTGAATATGTAGTTGAATACTTTATTATGTTAATTCTAAAAATAAAAAAATCTGTTTTACTGCTTTAGAAATAAACAATAATTATTATTATCTGTTATGACCAAATAAATTTTGGATTTCCAATTAGACATTTTTAAAAATAAACTGAGTTCCTACCTTTTGGTTACTTGTTGTTGTCAATGTGCGCCAAAATTCAATAACAATCAGATATGAGAAAATCATCACTATTCTTAAAATAGGTAAAAATCTGCTAAAATCCAGGTACCTGATATTTCACTGATTTTATTCCGAATTGTCCTGTGTTGGTCTACCTTAGAAAAAACACATCCTAATTACATGATGAGTCAATTTTTTATGCTAATGATGGAATGAAAATGTTTTGAGTACTCAAGAACAGCAACCTCTTCGCAAGGTTCATCTATTCATCCAAGTGATTTTTTATGCCTAAACTCATTAACAAGCTTTTATTTTTAAAAAGAAAAAATCCTTAATGTAGGATTGATTTGGCTAAATAAAAAATCGAATGCCTAAAAAATAGTCCATATCATCGTTTAGTATGACCAGTGAGTGTATAATGATATGATAATAAAGTTCAAAAGGCATGTGATTATTTCGATTGAATTTGCCAACTAGAAAATTTCACGTGATTAAATTAATATGAATTTCTGCGCGGTGCCAATTATGCGAAAGCATAATCGTGTTAGTTAATTGATCTACAAAACACCATGCCACGTAAATAGAGAAGGTTCGGTTTCGAATTAATATTTTTCTGAAGAAATAATGTCCAAATTATATTCAATATATAATTTTATTTCTCAAATTTACATACTACAGGAAATTGACTTTCAAGAATGATGGTAAGATTTGTAAATAAAAACGTGGGTAATGGTATCGAATCATTTAGAATTATTAATGAGTAACAATACACAAACTTTTACTTTTGATCTACAAAATTTTAATTGTGGCGGTGCAGGGTTGGCAAATTGACTGGTTCTTGAGAACTGATGGACTTTGAACTGGTCCATTGCCATTAATAAAATACTAAATTATTACGTTAATGGACCCAATGGACTACCAACGGACCATCAATGGACCGCACACCTCCAGTCCCTGTTGCGGCGTATGTTTCTATTTTGATAAAATCAATAATTTTGTTTATCTCACAAGCGATTGTTGGTAACACGAATAAATAATCTTTCGCGTTATCTTTTACTATTATTGAAATATTTGGGAAAATCCTCTTATCAGATGGTAATGATGAATGATAAAAAAAAATGACGGAATTTTTGCATCTAGTTAGCTGGTTGATTAGTCATTAATATTAATATTAACAAATTGGACGAATTGATATTCATGCATATTACTTGGTAAATTACGATTTTCTTGATTGATACACAAATAACTAATATGTAAGATACTCATTATTCGTCATTGACCCTCAAAATTTCATCATCTTAATCATAAATAACACTCCTTTTAATATGGAAAATTAATTTACTGTATTATATAATAATATATTCTAATTGCAATTATTACTCACACACACGAGCTGATAACAATTGATCATAATATTTATTTATACATCTATTTATATCTGTACATATTTACCATACATTATATATATATATATCCACTAATAGTAAAATCTCTACCTACAAATGATAATGATCATACTTGACAAATATTGCTAAAATATTGCTAATAATAATATTGCATAACACCGCTATTATTACTTACCATTTCTTGTAGCAAGGAAGTTGCCAAGAATTAATTCTTCGATCCAATCCATATTACCACACTCCATCACTTGTTTCATATTTTCTGTGTCTCGTATCTTTGTCCAATTATCTATTGCAAATTCTAAGCCTGCTGTTCGTAACCTGTTATCTTGAAACTCCCATCCTAACATTAATATCTGATCCCAATTCTCACTATTTATCAATCTAACCATTCTTTCTGTTGCCATCGTTCCAAGCTGTGGAATGCCCAACATGTCTGCTTTAGAAAAAATTTCTCTCAGCAGCTCAAACGTTAAGTCATCCTCAAGTTTATTTGTGTAAAGATGATGAACTATCGATCTGAACGTTTTATACGGCATATCTCTAATAGCAATCGCTTTCATGTGACCTTCCTTCCATTCTCCCCCCAACAAATTCTCAAAATACGCTGATCTCGCAGCCAATATTACCCGATGTGCCTTCATCACTGATCCACAATCAAACACAAACTCTATATCATAAAATTTTTCCACTTCAAAATACTTTTCGAATGGTCCCAGTGAAGGATCAAATATGTTCGCAATCGAACTTGTTCCTTCACCAGTTGGAAGATCATTGAATATTTGCACCCTGACTAGTAAATCCATTTCCGGGTACAAATTTTCATTTGTAATTGGGAACAAATCTTTTAATGCAATAATTCTTGCAAATCCATAATCTGAATTCGAACCATTAAATTCAAACTTTGTTTCTAATGTATGTCGACTAATCACTAGTAATGGATTTTGTTGTTGTTGTTGTTGTTGTTGTTGTTGTTGTTGCAGTGAATGGTATGATTGCATCTGTTTATACTGAAATTGTTGCAATGACAACTGTTGTTGCTGCTGCGATTGTTGTGAATTATTATTGTTATTGGGATCAATGCGAAAAAGTGACAATCTGAATTTTTTTTGTCTACCTCCTATACCATTTACCTTCTCATATTGTGTATGAATAGCTTCAAGATAAAGCGACAAATGATCATTAGACTTTTTATCTACCCCATTAGGAAACATTTTTAACCTCCATAAATAACAGGTATTATTATGATTATTGGTTTGTCCACATAAAATATTATTCTCATTAAATGCTATAGTTGTATTTGTTGTTGATACAATTGCTGCTGAAGGCGATGATGAAGATAACGAAGTTTTACCTGGTTGTCCTCTTGGAGACCAAAATCTATCACTATAAAAAAATGTTTCATTTGGATGTCTTGCTGCTAATTCATTAAAACAGTTGATTCTCCAAGAAAATGAAAAAAAATTATCAGTAGACGACATTTTATTTATTTTAAAAAAGTTGGTTATTTTTTATTAATAAATTGAAAAAAAATTTTTTTTGATTACGGGTTCTCTTTTTTTATATAGCAGTAAGGAGGAAAAAAAAGTTTAAAGAAAAAACGAGTTTTTAAACACAACATATTTTATATATTTTTAATTTCAATTATGTCACGTGAGTTTTTTAAATGGTCTTTTGTGGTCTATACACACGTTTTACTTTTTGCGATATGCTTTATTATTATAAGCAATAATAATGTTATCGAGATTAGAATTTAATATTAATATTAATTGGTCGAAATACCCTAATTCTGAATTTATTTATTATTATTTATTTATTTTTTACAATGGATAACAGTCGTATTCCGAATTTATTTACTTTATCCGTTTATCTATTCATTTTATATTATTTATTATTTGTATAACATCGTAATTAGTTATTCAGTAGAAATTAACGTAGATTCGCATTTAAAAGACTATTACTATATTGCATTTTAAAAGTTATTCGGACGGAATTAAATCGCAAATTCGTGTGGATTCGTAATTAAATTGCTGAATAGTAATTAGGGTTAGTGATGTTAGCCGGCTAAGGAATTTTAAATGACTTAGCAAAAAAATTTTCACTTGACATTCCATTTTTACGTCTGAAATTTTAATGCAGAATTCAATGGCATAAACATTTATTAGAATAACAAAAAAAAACATACATTCACTCAAAAAGAAAAATAAACCACATCATAGCAGGATAAAAGTCATAGAGTTTCTATTCGTAATGCAAATTCTTATTTTAATTCGAATTATTCGTTTATTCGAATAAAACTTCAATGTAATTCGAATACTCAAATTTCTAACAAAAAAACAAATAATTTAAACCATTAAAGACGAGATATTATAATAACAATAGTAAATAATAGTAATAATAATAATGATAGTAGTAGTAACAATAATACCAGCTAGCTTAGTACCATCTGAAAAGGTTTTCATCAACTGGGATTTATTAAGTTCTTCGCCGGACATCACTAATTAGAGTGCAACAAAATTGTTATCAAGTAATTTAATTGTAAATAAGAAACTTGAATTCAACATACTTGTAAAAGAACTTTGTAAGAAGTTTAATAACTTTGTGATAAGTTACTTAAAACTAATTTGTTAGTAATGGCTGATCCACATAATCATTAATTATTGTTATCACCAATTATTACACTCCAAAATAATAATTGGTCTTAAAAAACAATTCCAATAAAAGAATTTAAGTATACTGTAATTGTAAATCAAATTAGGTCATTTCTTCTACTCTTCTTCTTTCCTTTCATTATTCTCAGTAATTTAATGAGGATCCAACACAATTGTAAATGAGATCACCAGTTTTGAAATCAAAATGCATTCTTTACATTCCTAAATCATGAGTTTCGAAAATAAATCTGGTATTAGTATGGTATGTTAATTATAAATGTCTGAAATTTATTTTTCACAACCAATGTTGGTGATGCTACCTCTGTTAATGAACAACTTGGATTCTCAATTTTCTACTTAATACAAGTAAGTGTTTATCATAAGAATGGTGGTGGTGGCTATTGCCAGTCATTGTCACTCTAGTTAAAATAATAAGAATCATATTAATATTTAATAAATGTGTTATATATTATATTAATTAATAATGATTAGGTAAGTCATACCTTTTTATATACAAGAAATTTTTATATTTTTAAATTTAC